TTTCACAAATGTCAGTTATTTAAATAATAGATTTATATACCATATTATTTTTAAATAATGATATCTGATTTTGTAACGATAGTTGTAATTTTTTTTTGGGTAGTACCTACCATTTAAAACAATTATACAAGCAAGTTAATAACAAATGATACATTTATTATAATTATTTATTACACGTAGCGTATAACTGTTTAGTGTTTTTATTAGTAAATTAATTAATATTATATATATAGAATATCTGACGACTTATCTCCAACGCAAGTAAGGGTCAAGATTGAAAAAAACAGAAAAATAATTTGCTACAGATAATGAATGTAATAATTTATGATATTTTTACAACAATAATACAAACAGCTTGTGGTTGTGATTTTAACCTTATTGTATACATGTTAAAATTTGTATTTTGTACAAATAGTATTTAATGAAACACATACACATATTTCTGTTGATTAACCAACCCCTTATCAACGTTGTAGATTAGGGGTTGGTTTATAATAAAATAAAAATATCACGCTCGAGTGACCAAGCACCGCCCAAAACACGCCCCGCTTCATACTGGTTTACACACAAAAATTATTAAACGTACGTACGTAATTAGTCGTCAATACAGGACGTAGCGGTAGGCCGTAATAGCACGTCGCAGGCTAGTAATGTGTTGTTGGCGTGTCGCGCAGTGCCACAGTATCTGCCGGTGTTATTTACAGCCTACCCTTAAAAAATTATAACATGGGATCGCTTCGCGTGACTAAAATTTTATATTACGAATAATTAACTTTATCGGATACGATACAAAAGTTATTTATTGTTATTCGTTTGTATTTGATGTTTAGAACGTCTGGAGTTTTGTTGCTATGAATTGTATGGAAAAGTAGTTTATATTCCACGAGTGTTTTGGTGGTAGATTATACCAGGCGTTGAGTTCGTATACTAAAATATACATAGTACCCTATGTATGCAATATAATCCAAATAAAAATATTTTAAAAATACAAATTCAAATAACATTTCAGAACCTGTTCACGGTTGATTAATAACAATACTATAGATATTATATTTTCAAAATCGAACCATCTTTTAGATTTTCCCTATCCGATATCAGTAACTTGATCTTAGACGATGACGCTTAACACAAAACTGTCACCAAGAATCAAAAGAAGTTTTTAATTTCAAAGCCCTCTGTCGTCCAAGTGATAAACCTGATCGGGTGGAAAACTTGTACCTGTACATCTATTACTCAACAAAATACGTGTCAGGTATTCTTATATGGGTGCCGATGTGCCGATGTGTCATTGGTAAATTCAAATTGTAGTGGTAACCCGATAGGCGGCGGCACTACTCTAAAGTATATAGTTACATTTGACTTGTTCGAGTTTTTCATGGCAAATGACATACATGTTGTGTGCAACGGGTTTTAGTACCTGTTCAATGAATTGATAGTATATTAATACTTCATATGAACATAATAAAACCACCAGGAGGATTAATATCTGGATTATTTGTTATTGTTTTAAGCCACTTTTTATTGACATTGTGTTTTTATATTTTTTATACAGACATATTTTTTATATACATGTTTAGTTAACAATTAAGCTAAAGTAACACTTAAATATTCTGAAAATGTATGTGATGTATTACATTTATGATATAAAAAATTATAAATACGACTCATAAAACGTATACTACTATTATAAGTATTGTTCAAAACTGTTGATGTATTTTACATAGTTTAAAATATTTCCATGATCAAATGCTTCTTTCAATAAACCTATACATATAGTTTATGCACAAAAATAAATACTTAAATTCGAATGCTCTACAAAAGGCGGGCTTATCGGTAAAGAGCAATCTTTTACAGGCGACTGATTATGACAAAAGAATATATTTACAAAAAGAAAAGTAAACTATTGTTATTTTGTTTTATAATTGTATCTTATCGTCATCAGCCTATCAACGCCCACTACTGAGCAAGGGCCTCTTTCTCACATGGAGAAGGTTTGAGCATTAATCACCACGCTTGCTCAAGACGGGTTGGTGATTTCAAACTTATAATTGTGAAACTATAAGTCCAGGTTTCCTCACGATGTTTTCCTTCACCGTATGTCAGTGGTGTCTAAATACTCTCAGAAAGTACATATGACTCCGAAAAATCACATTGGTACTTGCCAGGTTTGAACCCGCGCCCTCGGCAACGAGAGGCGGACCCTTTAACCACTAGGCCACGACTGACTATAATTGTATCTATATATCGGATATTATAATATGTACCAATGTATGTGTTTGATACATTGTTATTACTATAAAGAACCGAATTTATCCCTCAAATACCCAAATAATAGTAAAGAAATTGTTTATACAAAACATTTTTTTTTTAAATATTTATCTGTATTTTTTTCAAACTACATATTTACTTGTGACAAAATAAGAATAATTTTATTTATTACCTACTCATACAGTAAAATCGACGGCAAAGTGATTCATATTTCATATTTAATATTTCAACTTTTGTATTTTATAACAAGAATAGATAATAATAGATCATTGTCTAGATGTAACTAATTAATTTTATTATATTTACTACGTGATTATATTTTTTTCAGTCTTCCATCAACGCATTTGTATAAGTTTTGATAAACTCTTTTCAAGCAATGCAACAGCATATTTCTTATTTAAATACATATATATGTAATTACATACATATTCTCAGTATATACTATGTAATATTATACTTATTACATATTGTTAAGTAATACAAATTTACTCGTACATGTCGACGAGAAACTTAATACGAATGCTTTGAACGCTTGAAACCGTCATTACCAACAAACATTTTATAATAAATAAATTACAGAATAATTCTTCTTGAGAACTACGAAAATTATTGAGGTATAAAATGAAATTTTATGTTAATTTATTTTTCATGTTAAAGTAATCAAGAAGTTATAAAAATGGGTCAGACCTGTATAAACTATTTAACTTAGTACAGTTATTTTACTTTGTACTATTTTAAACATTAGCATCGTGTTTTGATTAACATTAGATTTAAAAATTGAAAATCAACTAAATTCTAAACCTTATAGTATATATTTGAAAATTACGAAGATAAATTGATAAAAGAAACAAAACGTCATAAACATATAAAACGATTTTGCAAAAACGCTTAGAGGTTTCGTTAATTTCACTACGTGTTTTAAAGTTACGAAAAAAGTAAGCTCGTGTAGATTTGCATACCTTTTGTTCCCTTATGAAGGACATTTGAATATTTTGGTGACTTATTTATTTATTTTTCACATAACTTTCCATGTGTTATCTCACCATTGTTAAATACAACTGGAGTATGAGAAATGCTACACTAAAAAGTATTATTGTGGAATGTTTTTAATAATGCAATATATTTTTTTGTTCATAACATTTTTACAATAGTTAGAAACCTTAATTTTAATTGTAATATCTCACTACACTGTTAACACCGCTAGTAGAATAAATAAAAATCCATTTAAATCTATTCACACCTAATACTAACATTGAAAACAGTCTCTTTTAATCGCCATCTTGATAAATCAAAATAATGATTTGAATAGGCGTGAAGAGATACGGTTTAATAATAGCAATAGGTGGGAGCAATATTTTTGTGTTTATCTCGTTTTTATGACTTTAAGTAGGAAGCATGAGGTGGCGGGTGACATAGGGGTTTAATTGAAGACAGGGGGTTGAACCTCCCCAGAGGCGGAATAATAAAAAAGTGAAGTCGGGAATCCCCGGGAGCTCGGATGCCGTGAAAGTGGCACGCTGCGGATAAATGAAGGTTTTTGTTTGCGGAATACGCCTAAGCTGCACGTCGCTCCACTTTCGTATTGTCGTTTTAATTCTATAGTTGTTAGTTCATTCATAGAGCGCAAGTCATTAAATTTGTGTCGCTCAAGTGCTGTCTTATCCACATTATGACTGGAGTTAACTTACCACATTTTAATTACTACGTAAACATAAACACGTCTGTCCGTAGTGAAGCTTATTAAATACCGTCACTTGATAATACAATGGTAGCTAAAAGATATATCATATTTATTTACGAGAATCTGTGTAGAGGGCGAGAATTAAGTCAACAACAAACTTAACAAGAGAGAATTTTCATGACAGTTGTTAAGGGAAACGCGGCGTTAAGTTTTTGGGGGTGAACTCAAAGTTGCGTGTATTTCTTTGGGAATGAGGGGCGCAACCTGTCACTTGTGCGATTTAAGTGACAGTTTTATTAATTTCCCATAGTACTCATCCCTATTTTCCTCCCTTCTCAGTTACAAACAATGCTATATTGATGGCACATGGAAGCCACTGTTTGCGCAAAATTTCACAAAGGAAGCATAAAATTTAAACGTTATATAACACCTACAAACATCTTGCTCTTTTTGAATGAATTTGTTTAAATAATGTTCATTAAAATTATAAAGATCGCAATATTTCACAGCACGATTACATATATGTTGTGTATGTATACGGTTATATAAATATATTTTAATGTTTGCATCGATTTTTACCAATCCATGTAGATTAATCTTAATAGAATATTACGGGATCTGAATTGTAATAAAGATGGGAACTGGATATCTATGCGTGGTCTGCGAACGAATGCGTACGGAGCTAAGAGATAAGCCGCAGCTTAAAGCAAAAGCAGTCGATGGCTTATCGCGATTTCAATTATCATGCTGGCGCTTCCATTGGCTCTTTGGAGGGAAGAGGGGAGGGTTAGAGAATGGGGCGGTCACGACCCAAGTTATCTGAAATCTCATCCAAATAAGACTACATTTACACTTCATTGTACTTAAGTTAAAATGCTTTCATTCGAAGTACAGCATTATTGTAAATGAATTTATATGTGAATCTGCATGAATATTCTTTTAGCAATTGTCAGAACCAATCCACAAATAACTATAGCATCTAAATTACTCAAATAATTTTTTTTATTTAGTGGAGCCTTAATATTATATTAATAGACATAAATTTTAACAGATACGGCATGGATTTGAATGGTGCTAGAAGAAAAAATGCCACTCGAGAAACTACAAGTACTCTGAAAGCATGGCTTAACGAACACAAGAAAAATCCATATCCAACAAAAGGAGAAAAGATAATGCTGGCAATAATCACAAAAATGACGCTTACACAAGTGTCCACGTGGTTCGCAAATGCTCGACGTCGCCTCAAGAAGGAGAACAAAATGACTTGGGAGCCAAGAAACAGAGTTGACGACGATGACAATAATAACGATGACGACGATCACAAAAGTAACGATGGAAAAGACGCTCTAGGTATGTATCTTTCATATTTATAAATCTATACAAGCAACAAAATTCTCTTTAAAGGACATTTTACAAATTTATTTCTTTGACACTTTTTGTACACTTCTTTACAAAATATTATGGTATTTTAGATGGAAAAGATTCTGGAACTGGTTCCAGTGAAGATGGAGACAGACCGCAACAAAGGTTAGACCTCCTCGGTCCGAGAACGGAATCTGAATGGTCAGAATCAAGAGCTGATAGTGGACCAGAATCACCTGAACCTTATGAGAGGCCATTACACCCTGCATATCAGCATCTTCCATCACGTGCCCCACCTGGTAGTACACCTGCCTCTGCTAAGCCTAGAATATGGTCTCTAGCAGACATGGCAAGCAAAGATGGTGAGGCGCCGGCAGCACCAGCAGCTGCCGCTTCCGCTTTCTACCAGACAGCAGCAGCAGCAGCCGCTGCCCGTCTCGCCCATCCTTACGGCCGCCCAGACTTATACAGGGGACTATACCCGCCTACCCATGCTGCTGATGTTGCGCTGCTAGAGTACTCGCGCTCCTTGGCTCTCGCTGCTCCAGCTCCCGCGCCCCCTGCACCCTCCCCTTCTTCGTCCTCCACATCATCCCTTGCTGAACCACCACCTTCCTCTCGCGCCTGACCGTCTGCCATAAGCTCGCCGTTGGCGCACCGACAATAATCGCGATCTCGGCCCCGCCACTAGGGCAGTAACGGCTAATCACCTGTAAATAGCATAAAATATATGTATACATACTTATACGTGATAATAAATAATTTATGCACCAGTAGAGAAGCTTAGGTTTGTGATAGTGGACACCGTGAGGTAGACTCGAAATACGTCGACGCACGCGCCGACCGACCGACAATACTAGGTGCTAACAAGGACCTTACGGCGATTGATCTAGTTGTTACTGGAAGTGGTTAAACGAAGTGATTTTAATAAAAATAGGTATTAATATGTGTTATCTTTCCCATATGGTAAACGACACTGTTTTAGATTATTTGACATGTAGAATGTAAATTATTATTTTTTCAAAATGTTCTCTTTATGTTTAGTATCTAATTACGTCCAGGTTATCTCTATTGTTTGATAGTTTCATAAAATATCTAACAATTCGAATTTTAATATTTATTAATACGAGGTCAGTAGTTATAACACGATTTTTTTAATATACTATTAATCTAAGTAATAATGATACCAGATTAAAATATCTGTATGGATTCTTTTCTAGTCACAAGACTATGATCGTCTATGATAAATATTTTAATGAAAATGTCATTATAGAAAAACATCACAATACAATTTAAGTAAACATATAGACACGGAATCAGTTCGAGCCGGCTTGAATCTCCTTTTATCTTCCTCTGGGTCAGTGCAAAAACACTTCAGATTCTTGGTCAATATTCACTATAATCTGTTATATAAGAAAGACAAGTAAATTAAATAAGTTTATTTAATCAAGTGTATAAGGACAGTGACAAATAGTTTTTAGATAATAATATAATTAAACACTGGAAACCGCAGATGTAAAGCGTAAGCACGATATGTAAAAAATATGAAATTAAAACACTATCCAATAAAATTATTAAATGGACACTCAACTTTTAATGTCTTATATTTATTATAATCTTTTGCATATTTGTCCCGTAATATCGAAATGGCCTTGTATATGTGTAACAAAGTAAGGTATAGGTAACCCGTATGTTTCCCAGTGTATAAATTTTTTTTCAATATTTTAGAGACTGAAAGTCCAAAATTGAGTCTATAGTTTTGTACATACATACGTCATTGTTGTAATTATATAATGTAATGATAACATACATATTTAAGAATGGTAAACGCAATGACTTTTCTGTATTAGAGATCCTTTTAATGTATATACTCGTAAAACGGTGGAAGACGATTTTGTAAACTAAGTATGTGACATGCTTATTTAGTACGTGCTGTATGGTACGCAGAACTTGGTACGAAACTCTTGAATCACTATTTCATTTCATGTAATATAACAAAATGTAATAAATAAGATAACGTATATATAAAAGTGCGTTATTTTGTTCTGAATGTAACGATAGTTCTGCGTGTTAGAATGTTGGATAAACAGCATGTTATGTTTTTATTTGAATGTTAAATTTAATGTAAATCCAAGCATTTCGCAAATTAAGTTATTTAGTAAAGCTATTGTTTGTAATTGTATTTTGTTAGCTTCAACGTCTTTAACCGTTCTCCTGAAAGGTGTGTGAATAGATGCAATAAAATTTAATACAGAAATATATCAATTTTTTATTACAAACATTACATTCTTCCCTTAACCAACGATTGATTCATGCTAATAGGTAAGTTTTAGTACTAAGGTGTAAATATCACAAGTTAAAGAATTAGTTAGTCTAAACTTAAAACAATTAGATAAAATACCGAACTAGCATATTCCAAAATGACATAGTTCTCACTACATCGCATTGTAAATCAATCGTCAATTAGATGCTGCTGAGTAAATTACTCTTGTGCCCAATTACACTTCAAAGACTGTTTATCATGAAAATACAGTTATCCTGGATAATTGGACCATGGGCCAACAAATACGTATAAATCATAACCGTGCTTTGATGTGGCCGTGTCCGTGGTGACGTCAGCACTCCGTCCGCTATGTCATACATTCATTATTTGCTCACGTAGTGTAGATGAAAGGCGTCCATAATATAAATAAACAAATCGTGTGATACCTGCGTCAGTGTTGAAAGGGCTTACGATAGAATTATATTGGAATTCATGAGAACTTCTCAATTACTTTCATCCGTCCTGTCAGTTATTTGTAACGACTGATTTAACGCCACCGATTCGGATAATGTTCTTAATATGACACTATTAATTGGAAGTGTTTTATAGCTGGAAAGCCACCAGAATTGTTTACGAGGAATTCTTAGTGAACTTTTATAAATATACATACTTCATTTATTAACTAAAATTGAACTAAAATTGAAGTAACAGAGTTAAGTATAAGAAAGAAAAATTATTATAATTAGGATCCATTTAAAATTTTCGTAAATTTATGTTATTTAATGACATCATGATAAGGGTTCTGAAAATTGTATAGTATTTTGTGCAAAATAAAATTTCATTTATTAAGGCGTTTTATCCTGAAATTTATTGTCCTTGTGAAATGATAAACAAAACAGTGAAATTAATTTACTTCTCGAATTTTATGAAAATTTTTGTAATGTACTGTTGTAGCAAGAAATTGACATAAATAACGTGAGAATGTAGTATTAAAATATGATCGTGTAACGATCCTTATGAATGTTAGTATACTTGAGTACTTAATGCTCTTGACGATGCAATAATGTATAGCTTTCGAGGGCCAATCAAAATTTTTAGATGATGAGTCACAAGTACAATTTTAAGTTCTCATTTCAATTACAAAGTCTCACAGCAATCACGCATCATTGTCACCCCAGCCCGTTGATATTGTATATTCATCCATCTGTACTATCCATATTATAATAAAGCCATCCAAATGATGGATCAAAAAGCATATATGACTTGAAGTTTTCATTCAACACTATCCGACCAAACAGTTTGAAATGGAAAAAACCTATAAGTTTCTACAAAAGCGCTCGGAACGGATCGTGTTATGTAAATAGTCCAACATGTTTCTGTAACAAAGAAATCTTAATAGCCGATGACGAGCAGAGTCAATATAACAATCATCGCACTGATTGCTCGTAATTTCCTATACGGGCGTTGACTGGAGGCACCCTGTTTATTTTTACATGTTGAAAATTTGTAAGTTATGTTTCTTTTTATGGTATTTGCATAAACACGGTTATCTATTGCATACTTGGTTACTAAAGCGTTGTTCGAATGTTCCGATATGGTCTTTTGCAATTATCTGATATAGAATTATCAGCTTTGTTAGTATTGTAATGTATAGGCTATTTTCGTCTGCAATGGATTATGGAATCCTTGAGTAAGGAATTTCGATTTCGTAGCGGCCACTGCTATGCCATCTAAAATATTGGACATCTCCATCTCGGTTACTGTTTTGCTCTTTCTTTTGATGCAAACAATGAGTCGGGATCGTCAAGGGAATGTGTGCATACCTTTGAATATGTTTTAAAGCTCTCCCACGTTATTAAACTAAGATATAAAATAAGTTACAGCAGCAACACATCCTTTAAGGGGTCTTATTATTTAATAAGAAATTTTTGTAAAACAATTACGAACTTCACAGAGTATGAGTAACACAATTCCCGAAAGTTGTTACGTGTCACTTTTTACTTGAGAATAACCCCTCCGAGGTTCTGATAAGATCGAATCCCTCGATACAATAGATAAATAAATTAGAGACAAAATCCGTCGTTACATTTTAAAATCGTATTTTACTGAACTGAGTCGTGATCGGCTATGGCTGGCAAAAACAAAGCATTATCGGACATGCATAATTTAAATGATACTGTGATACCGACATGGTTATCGTATTAGGAAAGCAAACTTTAATAAGTGTTGTTAATTTTAGGGTTTCAACTGATGGCTGCATTTGTTCTTAACATTAAAATAAAATCTAAGCAAATTTAATGAAATAATGAAGTTGGGAATGAAATAATGTTACGTAGGAACGAAATAATATTTTAAATATATGTATATGTATAAATATTATTACACTATTATTACTATTTAAAAATATCTCCAACTATGTTGAATATTTTTTTTTTAGTCAAACCTATTCCTTTCACAGAGAATTTCATTTTTCAAAAGGAAATTAGTAACATGTCATCAGCATAAGTTACTGGACAATTGTTTCGACATGAGTTGCAATAAAAACAAAGCACTTTACATTTACAAAACTTTAAAATAACGTTAATCCAGGATTGTCCAACCCTGTCCGATCTCCCACCCAATTTCACTGGGTATCTGAATGACGGCTTGTATTATTTTTTTGTGAACATACCATGTCATCGGTACGACTGTAGTCTGTTCCCTATGATTTATCGACGTCCATATTACAAATACGACACAACATTATGCGAATCTTTATTTCTTCTTTAGCCATATTAGTATGCCGCAAACAATTCTGTTCAGCGTTGGTTTTGTCATACCGGCTTAATGTTATTTTGTTGGAATCGTTACTCGTGTTTGTGGGTAATTTTGTCTGTTTGTCGATGAATTGTACTTGGTTTTGAGATTTTTTTTTTCAATTTACTGTTACGTTGCAAATCTCAAAGATTCAAACCACTGTGATGTCTCAGATTTCAAAATCATCACAAAAACAATGATGACAACTATTGAATAAAGATTTGTAAGTTGTTCTGGTTCCCTCAAATCCTAATTAATTCGAGACTTCAATCCCTGGAATATTTAAAAGGCTCATGAATTAAAACCGAGGTTTGATTTTTTATTAGTTAGAAAGTTGTTTACAGCTTAATTTGTAGATATTAATTGAAACAATTATATCGGATATTTTATAAATCTTGAAATTTCTTTTATTTATTTTTTTTTCATTTCTACTTCTCAAAATCTTATTAGGCACCTATAGTACAAAAAAAAATATATAAAAACAATTCCGGATAAAAGACAATTGCATTATTTAAAAAGTTTAAAAAATAAAAGCAGAGAAACTTAAAAACTCTTTAAATAAATTCTCT